GTTCATCTGGAGCACCGTTGAGGACGGATTATTACGGCTGAGACGTTCTTAAACATGATTTAGAATATGATAAAAAGACATTGTGTTATTTTTCTTTCTGAAATAATAATTTGTTTGCATTAAAGAAGTTGGATGCAGAAGATGTTCTACAAATGATTACCAAAGCTGCTAATAATAATAATAATAATAATAATAATAAGCACTGACCTAGCATGCAGGCAGAGTGTAAAAGGTTAGTAATACAAACATTTGCGTTGTCTAAAACCTGAGCCTGTATCTGAATGGAATGTCGCGCGTTGGCTGCATGGTCCCGAATCCCCACCGCCTCACATCGATGTCTGGGATCTCTTCATCTGGGTTCTTCAACTCAAAGTCAAAATATGTGAGCATGAGGAAGACGAACTGCTTGAGCTCGTTGACGGCGAAGAACCTCCCGGGACACATGCTGACCCCGGCACCCCACGGCATGTTGTAGTACTTCACTTTCTTTCCTCCTTTGTAGAATTCGGTCTTTTTTCCACCATCAGGTGTGAGGAAGCGGTTGTATTTGAAGGTGTGTGGATCAGGGTGCACCTCCGGGTCCATCTGGACAGCGGTGTAGGGGAAGAGGGACACACGGTCACCTTTGCGGATCTTGTATTCGCACCCATTGTCCATTTTCAGGCTCATGTCCTCCAGAACGGCTCGTGTGAGCACGGGAGCAGCCGTCAAGCGCAGACTCTCATCCACGGCGCTGTCCAGAACCGGGGTTTTGAGCAGCATGTCTCGAGTCAGGTTAATCAGAGGGCCACCGCGCTTCACCTCCTGTCCGGTTTCACGCAGAACCTCATCGACCTCATTCTTCACCGCCTTCATGGCCTCCGGGTGCTTCATGAGGAAGAGGAGAAGCCAGAATGAAGCGGGACCTGTGTTACCCTGGGACGCCCACAGCAGCAGGAACATGTGTCTGTCCTGCATGGACTCATGCATTCCACGCTCGGCACGCATCTGCTGTGACTCAGACACCCAGCCGCTAATGTTCTCTTTGGTGTTCACCT